TATTTATTATATGTATTTATATTTACTGTAAGTCAGCTCAGATCTCTTCTGGAAAAAAATGAATATTTATAAAAGTATTAGCCTTTAATCTAAAGAAAAAAACAAAACCAGAAAGTTTCTGGCCAGGGCAGAGGTAGCTTCGCACTAGCAGGGACCTTACCCCTTTTGTACTCGGTATGGGGCCAGGCCTCCATCAAGTGGTTTAGTGTCATCTGGTCTGATCAGTTTCTTTATGGGGGTTAACAATCTCATGTCTTTCAGGGAAAAAAAAAACTCACAAAAAGTAAACATATTCTCCAAACTCATAGAGAGCTGTAAGCCTTTAGCATTCATTAATTATAATCATTATTTATAATTAATAATCATTTATAATTTAATATATTTATAATTATTTATTTATAAGTATTTATATTAATAATCATTATTTATAATTATTTATAATCATTATAATTCATTAATTATAATCATCATTGACTGGACCATTTTTTTGGTGGTTTCAATAATTCTGTTGGAACCCTGTTATAAACTCTTAATCTCAGCAATTCATCCATTCAACAAGTACTCATGGAGGCTTACTATGTCCCAGGAACTGTTCAAGGTGTTAAGGATACAATAGGAAACCAACCAACCAAATATAGACCCTTTAGGAACTTACATTCTAGTAGGCAGACAGCTGGAAAAAAAAAACCCACTATAAATAAATAAACTATATAAACGAGTGAAAGATAAATGGGAAAAAAATAAAGCAGGGAAAGAGGACAGAGAGTATTGTCGGATAAGGGGGAGTTGCCATTTTAAATCTGCTGACCAAAGAAGCCCTCATGAGAAAACGTTTAAGAAAACACCTGAAAGATATCAGAGGAAACAGCACGTGCCTAGGCCTTGAGGTGGGAATGAGCTTGTTGTGTTCTGGGAGCAGAAAGGAGGTGAGTGAGGGGAAGCCATGGTAGAATCCTCTGCCCAGCAGCAAAAGCAACAAGAGCGGTAGCACCCAGGACCCTTGTCAGAAACACAAATTCTTAGCCCTACTTGTCACACCCTAGGGCTAGGGAGTAGGGTCCAGCCATCTGTGTTTTAACAACTCCCTCCCCGCCCCCATTATTCTGACCCTCACCCAACTGTGAGGAGCCTGGTCTGAAGCCGAGAGGACCAGCAGAATGTCATAGGGGATGACGTTAAACAAGCAATGGGTCCTTGCGTTTTACTCTCAGGAAGAAGGGAAGTCAGAGGACACATGGCACTGGAACAGAAATATTAATCCGTACCTACATAAATAAATAATTTTACGAGAGAAAAGATACACTGATACCATAATAACCAGATTGAGGAGATGGAGCCAACTAAATGAAATACATTATTTTCAGGAAATAGAGTCTTATATTTGCATTCATCTAACAAAGTTGTACATTTTGAATTACCCTATCTGTTATTTAAAGCAGATTGCAAATGCAATTTATGCATATGGAAAATCTGCCATTGCCTCATGTCTATATTTTGAGTTCTAACAAGCAATCATTTTGCTTGAGAAAATGCCTATCTCTCAATATGCTCATATGTAAATTCTAAGCAGGTAGAGACTGGGATTCCTGTAAGTCCTATAGAATACATAATTCTATGTCTCCTACAGAAAAGCACCCATATGTGTCAATAACCATGAGGTATTTTATTTTACATCATACAATGAACCAGATTCTGTCCAGAGAGAGATGTGATGTTGCAATAAGCATATCAAGAATAAGAAAGAGGAAAGAAAAGAATAAATTATCAGAACTCTGAATGACAACAATTTGAAACAATTTGTACAGTGATGAAAATAAGGAGGTTTTATGTAAGAAAACACTGATTTAATTGCTTTTTTGTATATATAAACCTAAAACAAACACAAATACACACACGCACATGCATACACTACTTTAGTAAAAGAACAGAAAAAATAACTTTCTATTTGTGGAGATTACAACTTTCCTTATGTTAATCAGGGCAAATGCCCAAGACCCTCTTTACTTTTTCCATCTTCTATTTTCAGAGTCAACATACTCCTTTGAAAATATAGCTCAAGTTGCCTCTGGATTCTTTGCCATTCACAGCTATCACACACTTTATACCTGCTCATATTAAATAGAGTGTTTGATGTAAACTGCCTGAAATGCTTCATATTCATTTATTCATTCAACCTATATTTACTGAAAACTTATAATATGCCATATAGACTCTTCATCCTTCACAAGATCCCTCTGCACATTTATAGTATGGTTTCTCTTATACAAATTATTTACTAACAGACAAAGATTCTTGTCAAATATTTGGGTTAAGAAAGTTATAATACAGAAGCCAAAGAAATGCATCTCGAGAGGTTATTAGTATGCAAATATCATTAAATGTCATTAACTAAAATGTAGCTTAGAAAGACAGAGGCCTTTAGCCTTTAAATCAACAACAGTCAATCAATGGAGAGTAGCTTAGTAGCCATCCATTGACTTAATTGTACTGCCAGATCAAACTACTGATTATCTGGGCCATCCAGGTTAGTTCTGTCCTGGACTGAAGGCTTCAGATGTGAAATTTGTAATGACGACTCAATGGCTCTTTGTACTAACTCTGGAATTTTATTTCCTAGGGAATGATTGTCCATCAGTGTTCCATGGACTCCATTTCCTGGTAAAAAATGCATAGCAGCATAATATTAGCTGTCATGTTTCCCTTCCTTCCTTTGTTTTCTTCCTTCCCTTTTTCATGTATTCTTTCTTCTCTCCAAGTCAAACTGTGGCCCTACTGTCATCATGAAAAAAGTCACTTCTGGAGTACTTCCCACCCAGGCACTGTGCCAAGTACTTACACGTGAGAAGTTCAAACATCACAACAACCTCATCCGTGCATTACTATTTCCAATGCACAGATGAGGAAACCGAGGCATGGAGAGTTTAAGTAACTTGCCCCAAATCATGTAGCTAGTTATTGGTAGAATCTGATTCCAATCCAAACTATCTGCACTCTTGAATAATGAACGTGCCACACCCTGCCACCTCCGCCACACATGTACAGGAAGACTGCTCTCCCTGAGTCATGGACATTATCTTCCCCATCACATGATCAAGATCACTGTGTTTCAAACCAGACTTGATAACTGGGACAAATCCGCATTGTTTCGAACACTTACTATGGTGAAGATATAATACTCCTAAATATTGACTTGTTAAATTCAACTCAGTTGAAGGGAGAAATTTCAACTTGATGACTGAAGCATTAAAAAGATACAAAACTTTTGCCCTGTAGATATGAAGAACAACCTGTCTGTTGCAACTAAGTCAGAAGAGGCCAGAATTGTTCCCACCAACATGTAGGGAGAGAAATATTTTCCAAAATCCAAGCTTTCTTCCTTTGATCTTTGTCTTCTCAGAAGAAAAAAATTTGCAAACTTAATAGCTATTTGAAAACGATGAAAAGTGGTGATAAAAGGACATTACTTATTGACAACCAACCAGTAGCTATAAGAATATAAGAGGACAATCTTAAAATGGCTTATAGAGATAAGAAGACAGGCTAAAAAATCATCATACTACAAGGCAAATTATCACTACAGTTGTATAAATCAAGATTTAGAAGAAAGAAGTGATCATAGTCAATTGAGTGAAGTCAAAAATAGAGTTTGCCCCACAGCAGCAATCTTGATGCCTTTATCCCCTGAACAATATTCCTCACGTCCATCTGCACGGCCAGTCCCTCAGAACCAGGACCACTGTGAACTTCAGCTCACAGAACTTCCGGCCACGTTTTATCATTGTCACAGCAACCCCAGGCAGTAGCATTGCCCAGAAATTACAGATAAGGAAACTCCTTTCTTTTCCTCATATTCAAAAGTTGTAAAACAATGCCCTTGTTTCTTACTGGGATTCTTTTCTTCAAGCTAAACATCCCTGACCCATTCAACTGTTTAATGAACTGTAATTTCCAGACCCTACATCTTCAGGGTCAGTGTCCCTCCAAAACACTGGAACCCAGAGCACAGTGGACCTTCCTTTCCACATCAGTAGGTTGCGACTGCTACTACACGTGGTCCATATGGGTAAATTGAGGGGTGTGTTTCTTGAACCCCTGAAATCCTCATAGAGTCATATGTATTACAGCCCCATAACCTCAGCTGGTAACCCCATCGTAAAAGAAATGAGCCTAATTTTGGATGCCTTATTCTTGGTGAATCCACGCTGCCGCCTAGTGATTCCTATTTTATGTTCTAGATGTTTAGTGAAATGCACTAGTCCTTGATTCCAGGTTACCACTGTGAATATTGAGTATCAACCCCCAGTTTTTGTTTGCTTGTTTGTATGAGACAAAGTCTCACTCTGTTGCCCAGGCTAGAGTGCAGTGGTGCCATCATAGCTCACAGCAACCTCAAACTCCTGGGCTCAAGCCAGCCTCCTGCCTCGGCTTCCCAAATAGCTGGGACTATAGGCATGCACTACCAAACCCAGCTAATTTTTTAATTTTTTTTTTTTTTTTTTTTTTGTACAGATGAAGGTCTCACTGTTGCCCAGCCTGGTTTCAAACTCCTGGCCTGAAGCAATCCTTCTGCCTCAGCCTCCCAAAGAGCTAGGATTACATGTGTGCACCACCAAAACCGACCATCCCTCAGTTTCTGAAATCCACCTTTTCCCACTTTTGGTTCATTAGAAGTCTTCTGAGACATTCCATCACATTCTTAAAGACATCAGACTGGCTGTGAAAACACATCTATAAGCTCTTTCAGTATCTTTCCACCTCATTCAACTAAATATATGTCCACTTTTATACTGCTTTCTCATCTTGGACTTCCACTTTAACCATGATTGTTTTAGTATTTCCAGTCTAAAGATTCCTCTACTTGACAAAGTACATGAAAGCAAAATGGAAAGTGAGTAGCATGAAACCCATAACTGGAACCACTAAGGCCTTAGAAGCAATCTAGCATGTGAGCACGCCATCAGCACACAATAGAAGAGCAGAGAAGTCCCAGGTGATTTTACCTGCACTGTTTTACTCATTCATCACAGCCATCCCTTGATACAGCAAGCTGAGCTCTCGGAGGGAGTCTGAGTGGCCCAGGAGATCACTTTGACTTTTTCACCAAACTCAGGAAAGGAGGGAGGGAGGGAGGGAGTCGGGGAGAGAGGGAGGGGAGGATTCAGGAAGGACACGTTTCTAAGCACTCATTCTGTGCCAAGTGCTGAGGACACAGAACAGTGTGCTTTTTCTTCCGAGCCTTGTGAGGGTCTCAGTTTTCAAATTACTCATAATCACAACAACCCAGTGAAATAGGTATTAAAATAATTTTTGCAGGTGAGGAAATCAAAGCCCAGATCTTAATAAAATAAGTAACTTGCCCAAAGCCACCTAGTACATGAGCTTTTCACAGTGTCTGCTCTAGTCTTCTAAGTCACTAGTGACACTCAAGGTAGATGTAATCCACATGTAATACATGTAGACAGTGAGCACTTTGCTAAAATACCGTTTGTGAGAATGGTACTCACCTCGCATACCCACAATTCTCGGGAGGGGGCTCTCTGATTCAGATACCTATTTCCTTAGGAAGAGAGATTGTTTAAGAGCAAAGGCTTCATCTATAATATTATCTGTTAAATGGGTATAATAATCGGACCTATTTCATAGAATTGTTTCAAAGATTAAACAAAGTAATTCACTTAAAATCACTTTGTGTATATCTGATGCTATTATTAACTTTCATGACTCTGAGAATAGCATTTCCACTAAAGACTTTTTCCTTCCACTTTCAAATATTTGTGAGGAAAATTCCAAACATTTATAAAAGTAAAAAGAATAGCACAGTGAACTTTCATGCACCTATCTCCCAGCTTCAGTATTTATAAACTCATGAATAATCTTATTTCATTTGTAGTCCTACACACCTACACACACACATATATAGTTATTCTGAATCAGTTCCAGAAGTAATTTCATCTGTAAATATTTGTGTATATATCTTTAAAATAGAGGGACTCTTTTTATTAATAAACACAACTAGAATGCTATTATTGTACTTAAAATTTTAATAATAATTGCTTAATATTATCAAATATACAATTGATATCTATATTTTGCTACCATCTCATAGTGTTCTCATTACAGTTTAGTTATATTAGGATCCAGAGAAGTTTCATACTTTGTGATTATTGTTTCTCTTTTAATCTACAACTTTCCCTTTTTCCTTTCTTGCTTTTTCCCTTGTAATATTTTTGTTGAAGAAACTAGGTTTCAGTTGATACAATTGATACAATTTCCCACAAAATCCTTGAGCTATATAAAAATCCCTTGTCTTTCAGTATAAGCAATTCTACTTTCCTCTCTCCATCTTGAGGGTAATTTTCCACTTGTTATAATTTATAACAATCATTTTTGTCTTTTTAGAAAAAAATTTACCTGAGAAACTTATTTATTTTACTTAGGTAAACACTTATTTAACATTTACTATGTGTTAAGAACTGTTCTAACGTTTTCACAAATATTAATTCATTTAATTACCATAATAATGTTATAATTTCCTTTTTATAGATGTGATGTCTAAGGCTCAGAAAGGTTAAATGACTTGCCTAAGGTCACACAGGCTGTAAATAGGTAGACAGCTTTCTTCAGAAACTAAGGCTGGGAGAATATTAAATATTTACTTAATCTACCCATTTTTCACAGTCAATGTGGCACAGTTGAAAAGACACTAGACCCGGGTTTTGATTCTGATTATTCTGCATATTAGTTATGAGACTCTGTGTGGGGTACTTAACCTCCCTGATTTCTTGATACACAGTGAGCACTTAATAAGCACTAAACATGAATCCCATCCAGAGAGCCATTTCAAGGATTAACTGTAAAATTCTTTTTTTTTATAAATTTCACCTTATAATAAACCACATCAGTTAAGAATGCAGTACAAAGACTCTAAGTCCCAAATTTTGTGGCAGTTTTTCTTCAGTAATCATGTATGAATATTACTTATGAATCAACAGATATTTATTAAGTTGGGACTTTGAATCACCACTTCAATGCCCAGCATGAATTAATTTCAGGATGGGCTAATGAAAGGGATATTAATTGTAATCTGATAAAAATACATAAAATATTGTGTTAAAAGAGTCAAGAGATGAAAAAGCAATCAATATCAGTTATAATTATATGCAGTTGCTTCAAGTAAAATGATTAAACTTTAGAAGATACATTTTCTATTTAATATCTTTAATAAAAACAATCTATATAGTGTGTGAATAATTGAGAAGTAAGTTAAAAAGACTGGAATAAAGTTAAACTGTAACCCCAAATTCATGTATAAACTTATTATTGATCTTATTGAGCTTGGGTGTTAACATTCCCAGAACAATTATCTCTAATAAATTGAAGTGTGTGCTCAGATTACTCTAGTAAATTGATGGATTGTCAAAATAATGGAATATATGGGGTTATTCAAAATTCCCTTCAAATTTGGTTTTACAGTAATATAGCAATTTAGAGAACAATGGCCTTCTTTGTCTCTCCACATTTAAAGAGTTATTTCAAATACATTTTCACAGATAACAGAGCACCAACGAAGTGATAGCCTCTACTTACAACATGTCAAATTAATCAAGTTTCTTTTTTTCTACTTCTATTTTTCTTTTTTTTTAGGAAGATTATAAAAAAGAACTTAATTTTTTCTTGAAGAGGGAAAATAACTTTTAGTTGCTCATCTGCCCTTTAAAAACACTGCAGAGGTGTTCAAGAAGAAACCTCATTACCTTGGTCTCATGGAAGCCTTTGTTACATTCCAATGACCAACTGTCCAACTTCATTAGTTCCCACTGGATAGAATATTTCCCCTTCAGCCCATGGAAGAAAGGAAGGCAAAAATCTTTCTCCAGAGTCAACCTAATGCTTTCTCAGATAAAAAGCTATGAAGAAAAGTCAAGTCCATTCTAACTCTAAAATAAGGAATGAAATATTGTCCTCATATGATTTGTTTTCATCTGATAATAATTTTATATATTATAGAAACTGCATGGCAAATACAGCATATGGGATAACCACAGGATAGTCTCCTGAAAGCATGCAGGTCTCCTGAAAATTATTATTGGTTAGTCCCACAGTACATGGCTAAGAACCACTGCAATTCAACAATCAAAAATAAACACCTAAAGTAATCCAGAAGCCTATATAGCAGGCAACTTCCACTGCGCTTAAATGAAAAGAAGCACTTGCCTCTCCCCCCACCCCACCCTCCCACACACAGCCACATGCATGCAAGTGAACATGCTCAGAAACATGCAGGGCAGAAGACCACTCAGGGCAGACAAAACCAACCTGCAACTCCTTCATAATACTACCACATTTTTGTTGTTACTGTATTTTTGCCTACATAAAAGTCACCTTTTTTAAAAAAGGATATTTATGACACAAAAGGGCTATGATTACTGTCTAGAATCTTTTAAGTTTTATCTAGTTCAACAATATTGTCAAACTCAGCATGTTGAATATAGGTTGCAAACTAGAGATTGTGAAACCCTGTATTTGATGCTTATATAAACATGCGCGCGTGCGCACACACATACACATGGAGGAGATAGACGTGTGTGGGATCTAGTTTTGAGGAGCCTAATCATAAAACTTTTAAACCCCACCAAGGAAATGGCAGCATGATGAGCACTGAAAATGTAAAGAACAGAGGAGCAGAGAAGGAATGACCCACGTGCGTGCACCCACGAGAGAGTGGTGTTTCATAGTAACAGTACTGCCCTGGGTTCAGACCATACTCACTATCTGTTTTTCCAAGTATTGAAGGTTCTCACTCAACCACTTCCCCTTCTGCACAGTTATCAACAGATGCTGCGTGCTGCCCCGACCCCTGGAAATGGCACATGGGATACATGCCAACAACATACATGAGCTTCTTTCCTCACAGACAGCAAAAACACTCATCATCGAAAACTACTATTCACTGGAAAATACCAATTCTGTTTGCCTGTTTATGTCAATGTTCATCCAATGTATTTTGAAAAGAGATACATTTCAACAGTTCAGAATACATGGGTACTGATAAAATCAACCAGCTACATGCTCAAGTAATTGCTTGATTCCATATAATTCTTAGATTCCTGCAAACCAACGTGAAACTCAAGAAAATTTGCAACAATTATGCAGTCAAAGACTTTTCAAGCTTCTTTATCAAAGCTGCCTAGGGCAGCAGAGATTGCTGGGAGGGGTGATTGGGCCAAGAATCATCATGCGTGACCAGCTTCAGGGGCTTTGTGCAATCTGCAAAATATTTCCCCTTAGGGAGCCCATTTTTGGGGCTTCTCAAATGCCTGGTTTGAAAGTGAGGTTTCCTCTCTTTGCCTCTAGGAGATGTAATGTCCATATGTCTTGCCATAAAAAATAGGACTTCAACCCAATGCGTGATTAGCTTGCCCTTTTCAGGAAGAATCTGAGGCAGAGCACCAGAGATGTCATTTCATGGGGAATGCTTGAACGCATACCTGAAGAAACAAGCCTCCCCTTTTTTAAACTAAACAAAACATTTAACACAGTCAGTTTTCAAACCCAGACCATGCAACTACCTAAAGTAACGTCAGGCTTCTCAAAGTAATGCCAACTATTTTGACAGTTAACTGCTCTAATGTTAAGAAAGCCCCTTGTGTTTATTTAGCCCGGATGCTAAACTCCCTACATAGGCAGGAACACACATCACATGAGGCGATTCATTTGATCTTATTTACTTATGTAAAAATTTCTACTTCTTTTGTTAAAAAAAAAATTCAAGTAGATGTTTAGGAAAAAAGGAACATGTTAAGAATGTCCTAGTTTTGTCTGCTTTTCTTTGCACATCTGACAAAACATTCTGAAGCAAGATCTAAATTCCAGAAGGGGGTAGGAGCAGTATGGCAAGGGGAGGCCCATGTAATCTGTAATCTACATCCTCAGCTGATCTCTTCACAAAGGAGGCATGAAGGTACAGGACTTCATTAAAAGGAGGTTATCTCTTTTGCTAAAATGAAGCATCTTCTTACACTGGAATACCATGGGCTGGTAAATTTCAGTAGAATTCGGATCCAAAATAAATGATAAAATGTAGTAGAAAATCATTTCAAACACAACCTCGAGCTCATTTGGTCTAGTGCTATCTTCAGAAAGGTGCTTTTATGTCATACAGGGGCCTTTTTCAAAATACTCATGTATAGGTCTCACCCCTGATATTTGAAAAGAGGAGGGGACCCAGCCAGTTGTTTCTGATGTGTATCCCTGGAGAGAACCCACTGAACTGGAGCCTCCATATTTTAAAGAAGTAGCAGTGCGTGACAAAGGAATAGACAGTTCAAGTAAAGCAAGTAATAAGGTAATAAATATAAATAATTTTACCTATTGTTTTAATGGATAACAATTTAAAATAGTATAAGTAACTTAATGTATCTAATTAATGTAAATAATAAACTAATTTAAATAATCACTTATTCAAAAATGCCTTACCATCTATTTGCTTAGCAAATCATCTATTTCATTTTTTTCCAGAAAAGAGAATGACAGTCCTAAAAATCTCTGCCCATTGACCTAAAAATCTGATACTATTATAGTGTATTAAGGCAGTTGCTGTTTGAATATTCTTTGGCAAAAAAAAAATTAAAAGTAGGATCCAGGGTTTTAGAAAGACAATATCACTCAAGTTTTAGGTTCATGCATGTTTGACTAGGCTTAAGAAAAACAGAACTAGAAATTCTGCCCTGCTGTGTTTGAAGGAAAACCTGTCTTGATGACTATGATGTTCTCACCCTAAACACTGTCCCAGACAGGCAGAGCTTTTAAATGGTCAGGTGACCTCTGGAAGAAACCACCCAGGGTCTCAGGCTGTCCCTCAGGGGTTTCCCACATGCTTAATACCGATTGTGTAATTCTCTTGTGGCTTAAACTGGCAGGTGGTCCACAGGATGGAG